GCTCTACGAATTAATTATAACTATTTCAAATTTTTATTCCTTTCCAATTATACCGATAATGGGATATTTCTGTGCAACATTTATCTTTCTTTCGTTTGACTTCGTAATGAATGCGATATCATCCAACAATCAGGCGAATACCATAGCTAATTATTTTGGTTGGATAGCGATTACAATTATGCCGATGACCATATTGTTCTCAAATATCGATGACGTCACCGAAGAGGTGATTTTATGAGTTCCATCTCCTGGAGTTGTATTTATTTAATTTTTATTGCAGTATCATAGAACGCCTATCGAGCTTTACAAATTAGCATCGAAATGCGCACGCCGCCGAGAATTTGTTGCTAAGGTAATTGCAGCATCGGTAAATCGGCAATAATTTATTTTTACTTCCACTGTCCAGGTAACATTATTCGCTCATGACTTTCTTCATAAGAGAATGGCCATCTCAGCACTCAACATTTTCCCTTTGAACTACACGATATTCCACTCCGTAAGCATAATTTATCTAATAAACAATGGGAGAATAAATTGTTTAATCTGAATTTATTGTACAGATTTTTGGAGCAACCCTCACATATCTCATCATTATTTTCCAGTACTACGCATCAGTAGAAATGACTGCGAAAAGATATGGGAATTTATCTAGCTCCTGAGGAATATGAAACGAGTGAATAATAAATTTTATTATTAATCCTTTATTAATAATTTATTTAAACATACATCTTGTTGCATATGCAATGGCACTGAGAATGTGGCAAAATAATATTTCATTTGCGACGAATTTTTTTCGACTTAGGCTCTTTTCATATAAATTTTTTTTATTCAACAAAACTGCTCTCTTATAACATTTAACACATGTCTACCTAAAATATGCTCTCAAAAGCAATCAGTTGCCAAACGTCAAGTAACATGGACTCATTAACTATCAAACACAATAGCAATACAAATTTCATTTAATTCGTTACACATTGCACTTATACCAATTGATAATAGGCTTGAACCTCACGTACTCTTAATTAACGATCACTAAAAACAGGTGTAACAATTGACAATGAACATCCTGCTGTTGTAAATCAACAAATTCAACTATTGTAACAAGCACACACAAATATTGTAGTACCCATCAAACATATGTAGATCATTACGCACATTCTGAGCGTATAAATTTCATACTTTCAATCGTTCATGTAAATATTCATAATTATAAACGAGTGATATTAATTCCACTCACTCCACCCCCACAATCGTACAAATTACAACATAATACTTGAATTATCTCGTCTCAACTGCTGACCAGCGATATAATGTGCGTTGGAAAAACCGAGATGATCTGCTGTGATTTTTTAAAATAAAAAATAAAGCGATGATTTTCAATTTATCAATTGAGGAAGACAATCTACTCAATGATTGTTCTCCACTGTTTGCATGTTCTTCAAACTGAAGTTTCAGCAGAAGTGGTGCCATTGGGTTTAAAAGATCCAGTCGATTCCTTCGAGCGGATAAGATCTACCTGCAATTCAATATTATTCATGAAATAAATCGTTCACACGTCTGAAAATATTTTCACTAGGGAGATAAGCCAACTAAAGGATGATCAGCTCATTTGGATGATTCAATGAAGCATCAGGTCGACGGCCGTTGATTATTAATTATGTTGTGCGCTTGATTCAGTGGTTGTGCAACATTAAATCCATGCGGCAAACATTCGACAACTCAGCATTCATGCGCTCGTTCTCAATATTCTCTAACAATAAATTACGGTGAATCAACATGAAAAAGGTGAATAATGGTGTTAATGATTGCTG